TGTCACCAACAATTCATTCATAATTAAACATCTATTTTAGTTATGTTTAATTATATTGTTAACATTTTCATAATTCAATATGAAATCATAATTCATAACATTTTCATAATGTTACATAGAGAGTACTATGATCATGTTGTCATGAGAAATCATTGTTGGGTAAAAAATAACATAATTATAATCACTGAAATTATAAAATTAAAATCACACATTAAAGTATACAAAATCACATTTTGTTCACTACGTTTTGTTGTCATACATTTCTCAAAACATTGAATAGACTAATATATTTGGTCGTCTGCCTAACACCTTGTGATTCCATGGAGTCAATGTGACACTCCTATGATGAAGGGCATAGAGTCAAAACTCATCTCAATTCAACTATATTTACATTTAACACTGAATAAATTCTATAATAGGTAAGTGAGCACTGAGCACAACATGAAAACATATTTGGTAGTGTTAATTGAATTAATCAAATTGAATTGATCTATTCGTAAAGGATGTGCAGCCATGCAAGATATTTTGTTTTATTCTACTGTATGTAATTAGTTGTCATTTTTGTATTTCACGGAGTTTAAGATAATTACTGTAGACTTTATATAATACTCGCAAGAAGTTTTTTGATACCGTAACGGTACTGTAGCGATAATGTGATTGAACTGTAGCTGCTTTAATTATGAGTAGGTTTCTTTCAAAAAAGAAATGAGATAATTAATTTGATACACCAAAAAAGAAAGTAAACAACTAATGAGATATTTTGTTACAGAAGGAGTAGTAACTTACCAACACAGTGGCCAAACTGCATCTACTACTGCCTGATTATACTCCTAACTCCTAAGTGGCCAAGTCAAAACCATTTACTTTCTCCGTTCCTATTACATCTTCCATTTCACTTTGGCACACAATTTAAGAAAAGTGAGTATTGTGTGATGGAGAGTTGTGCAGAGGAGAGAAATGTGTAAGAAATGTTGTGAACCACAAATTCTTTACCAAAAAGGGAAAATGGAAGTTTAATTGGAACGGATGAAAAAAGAATGTTGGAAGATATAATAGAAATAGAGAGAGTAATTCACACATTGACGCATATGAAAATAGTTTTAAACAATTTTTTAAGTATACAACTTTTATGATAATTTATTTTGATAATTTTCATAATTTTTTAATTTTGACTAATAATTGTTATAGATTACTCAAAACGTGATGATTTTTTGAGTTGAGTGTGTATGAACCAAACAATAATTTTTTTTAGAACTTGTATAAATATAAAAGAATAAATATATTATCAACGTGCGTTCTTTACGAGTAATTTACAACTCCGTATAAAAATTAATTATTTTGGTCAATCCTGTTATTTGACTATTTCAGTCAATATTGAATATTCAATCTCATCAAGTCATTTCGGTTACCATTAGTCTCACCAAATCAACTGTAGAGTTTACGTAGTGTAGGATTAGAAAGCCTCTTGACTTGGGTTGCTGAATTCAAAATATTCTAGCATGACTAAACAAGTGGTTAGTTAAAAAAAGATACTCCGTGGATATACTCGTACATGTTAATTAAGAACTCAATTAAAGGATTATGGGAAATTAAAGTTAATTAAAATGATCTAGTGTGACAAAGTCCTGGATGAAAAACCCTATTTAATTATATATAAAAAAGTCCAGATGCGTCCAAAAAATGAACATATTGGATGGTATTTTTTTTGTAATCCCGGAATGCAAACTACCAAAATCAGTGAGGCATATGCCAGGAGTCATATGTCAGGATTTTATTAATGATTCAATGAAGTACATAAGGAAGGGGACTAGGCCAAAACTTCCTTAAAAGAAATACGAGTAACAAATAAAATAATCTATAAGAACCGGAAAGATGGCAGACCAAAAAGATCCATGAAATAAGCCCGTTTGACCAGAATAGGTAAGTTCACAGGACTGGAGTAAATCTGCAATTGGGCCGGTCCACCGTCTGCAAGCTAATGGGCTGCCCAGTTACCGTTTGGATGGTATTATCACACTTCGATTTCCAATTGTAAATGGATTAAAAGTAATTAATATGCTCATTTTTCGCTTATGGTGAATAACCTAAATGATATGGCGGCTGCTAATGCTACTACAATATGATATGAAAAAAATGCTATCAAAACTTGACACCTGATAGGCAAACATGGCAAAAAAGAGAGGAAGCTAATAAAAAAATGTGACGCATTTGGACATAATAACACAACCAAAAAAATTATGGTCAAGTAATTAACGTGTTTGCCTGAAATTGATTCTATAAAAACTTTTTATTTGACAATAAGTAGTAAACATGTTTTGGATTGTGGAAATAGAACTCCTATATTTTTTCTTTCAAAATACCTATTAGAGGCGGGTTACTACCTATTACAGACGGGTTCTATTTTTTCGGTTCGATTTTAACCCAAAACCAAATACGGAACAAACTTAAAAAGTTTGGTCAGATTTCGTTTTTTCTCGAATTTTTATTAAGAAGAATGTCGTTTGATTTAAAATGACAGAGTTATTGAAAAAGTAAATATATTACATAAAAAATGCGAGCATGCCAGAACAAAAAATCAGAGATGCATTGAATATGTGTTGAATCATATAATATGAGTTTGCGTAAGAGAAAACTGTTTTTCTAGTTTTTTGGAAAAAAGTACTAGTGTGTGTGTGTGTGTATATATATATATATATATATATATATATATATATATATATATATATATAATCTTATTTTACATTTTTCAGTGACTAATATAATTTAAAAAAAGTTCATGAATATATACGTTCTAAGAAGTATAGTTGAAATGAATATATATGTATTTTGTCAATATAAAAACTATATAGGTTACACTAAAATAAAAGTTACTAATAATAAGAAGCAAAAATATGTCACCATTGTGTTACAAATTGCAAAGTACATACGTAAAAGACATAATAATCAATATATAACTATATTATTATTGAGAATGAAAGTGTAAATACATTTATAAACTAAACTAAACCACAAGTATAATAACTTAACATTTAAAAAGAAATACGTACATAATAATCAGTATAGCACAAAACACTTGTTTTCTAGCACAAGAAAATTAAATGCTATCAATAATATTAAGATTACTACTTATTGGTTAACAAATAAAATTTTCATATTTAATTAGTTCAATTTATTCGGTTCAGTTCGATTTTGAAGAGACAAAACTAAAACCGAACCGAACAACTACAATTTGGTTCGGTTTTTTTACATTGAGTTTCGATTTTCTTGCGGTTAGGTTTAGCTTGGTTGTGGTGCAGTTTAATTTGATCCGATTTTCGGTCTTCTATTTTTCAGACTCAGTCCTACAACTTATATTGAAAAATAGTGTCATTAATGACACTAATATATTGTCATGTTACTCGTATTTTATGAAAAAATGTAGCAGTACTATTTTGAAATTCCAAAATCTATTTACTCATATTCCAGAAACTTTCATTTGTTTTATTTATGTTCTAAAGACACTGGAACACAATTATGAGCCCCTTTGGTGACAGTGTTTTCAGCTAATCGGTCTTATCAACTAATTTTTTCACCAAGCACATAATTTTTTTATTTCATGGTGCTGAATTGTGTAATAATCAATATAAGTAAGGTTGAAGTTACTTTTCTGGCTGAATTGACTAAAGTTACTATAGAAGATTTTTTTAATTACTATAGAAGACTATTTTAGTATTTTATCATATAATGCTTTCTTTATATTATTAATACTATATTTTAAATACAATTTCTTTAAATCAATGGAATCAATCATTCCAACCACTTCGACTAAAACTTCATAAATTTTAACAGAATTAATTGATTCAGACAATTTGAGTGTTACAAAAGAAGAAGATAAACTATCCAGACAACTTTAAATTCTTCTTGTGGACACAACTTACTTGACATATGCGAGTATGAAGAAGATAAGGAAGGCAAGGGAGGCAAAGAGCTATTTTATGGAAGAGAAAGAGAGGAAATATTCAAGCCTAAAGGGTAGGTTTCTTGGTTTTTTAATTTTAGTTGTTTGAGATAGAAATGTTCAATGAAAAAGACTAAAAGGCTATTTAACCAAACACACTATTAGCCGATCGGCTACCGGCCAAACACCCCGCTCTTTTTATGACAAGGTATAAATGATTCATACTCTCTCAAGTCATATATATTGAATTTGTCGACTTGTTTTTTGTTTATTCAAAATATTTACTCCTTATGTCCTTTAAATTTTTGTGAAATTTGATCGACACGGAGAATTTAAAGTAAAATATTGTATGGTTGAGTTTTGTGTAAAGGAGAAAAAAATATTGGAATCACAAATTAATTGATTAATAGGGAAATAAGAAAGTTATAGGAAAAACAAAAAAGAAAAGTTAGACAAATTGTTAAGAACAATGGTAGCATAATGATTTTGTGAGTTCTCTCTTTAACACATTTTCAATTCCACAATTGTTATTTTTCAAATTATTTATTTCACACTCAGATTCAAAGTTGATAAATGTATTTCCTTTTCTGTTATACTTCGTACATTTTTCGGCAACATAATTTCCTCTTTCTTAATTGTCATATAAAGTTAAATGAGAATTAATTATGGGATGTGGTCTTATGACTTAATCATTAATCGTTAAAGCTAGCTTAAAGTCTTAAATGGTGAAGGAGAGAGAGTACTCATTGAGTATTAAGAGAAAGAAGTGAGTGGTGGGTGGTGCAACAAGCTTGTTGCTTCATTTCCACAATGTAAAGTTTGATTAGAAAGGTTATGTCTACACTGCACAAGCCTAAGTTAGCAGACCTTCACATATGGGGTCTTTCTTGTCAATACTGAGAGGGACAGCCTAAAAGCCTTCTAACCCTCCCAACTCTTACAAAACCAAACATCTCACAAACTCACACGTGCAATCCCAATATTACCCCACTTTTCGATTTCACTTAAACTTATAAATCTTGGTTTATTTTCCTTTCTGTATATAAATGTGGGGGCAGCACAGATGAAAAGATAGAGTCTTGAAGCTATCTCACAATTCCCTCAAAGTTTCAAGAATTCTTTATTTCTTTTTCATCTCTACTTTTTCATCCTGCATTCAAGATTTCCCCACCTGAGTTGATCACATTCAGCCAGAACAGTGAAAGCACTGAATGAAACAATAAACCATGTCCAAGAACTGGTGCATATATAATCAACAACAACCAAATTACTCTCCAACTCCCTCTTCCTCCTCCTCTTCTCCCTCCTTTGGTGCTTCAATGGGAATGGTTTTTGCAGACATGAGTTCTCTCTCAATTGATCCCAAACATGGTATCACAAATTTATTCCAAAACAGCCCTCTTTCCAAAAGAAGTGCACCAAACGGTTCTTGGGATTTTCCAGCTTTCTTGAAAGGCGGGATCTTGGAAAACCATCATCATCTTCATGGCCACCAGAACAGTGATGGAGAGGAAGAGGGTAAGGTATCTGATTCCAGTGATGGTTTTGGAGAAAATAGTGAGCCCTTTGATCTCAATGCTTCTATAAGTGATCAAGATCAAGCTGCCATGCAAGCTGAAGAGAATAACAACACTAATAACAACAGCAATGGTAGTAATAAAGATGCAGAGAGCAGTGGGCAGTCAAAGCTTTGTGCAAGAGGCCATTGGAGGCCTGCTGAAGATGCAAAGCTTAAGGAGCTTGTAGCAATTTATGGCCCTCAAAATTGGAACCTTATAGCAGAGAAGCTAGAAGGAAGATCAGGTAAAAAATCCCAAAGTTCAAATTCAATCCAAACTTAATAAAATTAAACTTTAATTTATAAAAAAGATTTGAATTTTAGTAAAGATTTGATTTTTATGGATGGGTTTTATTATTTCTTTAATTATTTTGCTGAATACAGGAAAGAGCTGTAGGCTGAGGTGGTTTAACCAGCTGGATCCAAGGATCAACAGAAGAGCATTCAGTGAAGAAGAAGAGGAGAGACTAATGGCTGCTCACAGACTGTATGGGAACAAGTGGGCCATGATAGCAAGGCTATTCCCAGGAAGAACAGATAATGCAGTAAAGAACCATTGGCATGTCATAATGGCCAGGAAATATAGAGAGCAATCAAGTGCTTACAGGAGGAGAAAAATGGGGCATCTTGTTTACAGAAGAATGGAAGAAGAAGTTGATAATAATTTTCATAGCAGCAATCCTTCCAGTGTGCCATTTGGTGGGATGGTTTATGGGTCAAATGGCTGTGGAGAAGTAATCCCATCTAACAATGGCCACCCCATTCTACCTCCCTTCTCTGGATTCCCTGCATCTCACCAAATGCCTTTTGATCCTTTCCCAGGTTTTAATTACTCTCCTATCCTTCACTTTCTATTACCTTAACAAACAAAGTACTTAATCCCATATTGGGACACTCATGCGGGGATTTTTATGGCAATAATATAGTATTGGTGGTTTTGAAAATCGGATGAACCTGACTTAAATGGTAGGGTCGCTTTTTGTGCTAATTGTATTGAGTGGTATTCTCTGGTGGCCCTAACTAATTTGGTGTGGGGGTCCCTCACTATGTCAAACCGAAAAATCAGTAAACCGGATTAATAGTCACTATAGAGTATTTCATTTCTTTTTTATAACATTGTGAAGTTGAGACAATTAAGATAAATTACAATTTCTTCTTTTAAAAAGGAAAATGGTAATATTAGTGATATAATAAAAAACATAAAGTTGACAAAATTACTAAGGGCGGAGGAAGTATAAATTAAAAACCATTTACCATTTCCACTTAAAATAATAAATGCGTTGAATATATGTAAAATTCATAATCTTATACTCCGTACGATATTTTTTTCTTTTATTATTTTGCGTGTAAATCAAAGGTGGTTGCGTATTCTGAAATTGAGGGAGTAAATTTTAGGTCACCCTTAAAATAATGGACTAAAAACTTACTACGTATAAAAAGCACATTTTGTTTAAAGGAGGGGAGTAAACATTTCTTATGCAAAGTCACTAACTTTTTATAGTTTTAAAATTCAAATACTAATAATTGGAGTATTTAATTTTTTCCCCAAAAAGCAGGAGTTATTAATTTTTATAAAATTAAAGTAGTAAATTCATTTTCTAAATATTGAATGAGTTTTATTTACAAAAAATATTGGCCTTACAATATTGGTAGCTTAGCTTTTAGAGAGATATTTTCTGAAAGGTTTTTGTGTTGATTTGTGAAGGAAAATGCAACAAAGAGATTGGGGACATGGGAAGATGTTGGGGAAAGGCTCAAATTCATGGCCAACACTACCCTCCATCTCCACTGATGATCACAACAAACATGCACCACTCATCTCAATCCCCACAGTACATTAATTTTCCATGCTCCACCACCATCTCACCGGAATTCTTCATTGTAAGGTCACAACCACCACCACCTCCACCACCGTCAGTGGCTGAGGAAGAGGACAGAAAAGGCAGCAGTATGGGTAACACTCAGACATTTGCCCCTACATTTATAGACTTCCTCGGAGTTGGAGCCACTTGAAAACAAAAGAAAAAGCTTATAATGGTTCCTTCCACGCCCGGCCAGACCACCTGAGGGAAATGTATGTTCTTTCCAAGAAACAGAAAAAGAACCATTTTTTTTCACTTCTGGGGAGGAAACAGTGAAATCTCTGCAGTGGGGGTGACACTCATGATAATAACAAAAGCTAACATCTTTCCCCAATCCCCATTATTGTGACTCTCTTTATGAGCCCTCAAATCAAGAAAAGGAAAAATAAGAAAAGAAAAATCATTACCAACTGTTGAAACAATAATCTTTCGTCTGTTTCTTTTTAATTCCCTCTAAAAGACCAGAAACTTGAGAGATTGGGAAAACTTCATGGAAATCTCGTTGGGATCGAACGCCAGCGAGGGGTGGGGTGGGGATGGGGTGGGGATGGGTGAGGGAGGGGTAAGCATTCAATAATGAAACTTTATGTGTGTATAAACATGCTTGGGGGCAGTGAAGAATCTTGCTTCTGAAAAAATAATGTTGGAGGCCACCTAACCTACATGCGAATAATGCATGCAAACTGTCCTAACAGTTGTTTCCCTGCCGCCCATTCAAGGGGATGTCGTTGCCTAATTATTCTCCTTACTTGCAGCAAAGGAGTCCATCATTTGGGAAATGAATTTTGCTTTACAGTTTAATTAATGCTAACGGATTTGATAACCTCCCATCAGCTTTAATTAGCTCGCATTTAAATATTTAGTCCTACCTTCCGTTATTTGTTCCTATGATGCACACATGCTTCTCCATATTTAGTCCTACCTCCCATCATATGGGGTGTTAGTCGGTTTGGTTTTGTCAGATTCAGTTTTATCGGTTCGCTTTTATCGGTTTCGGTTTTAGAAAAGGTGTAACCGTAAATCGAATCGGAGTAGTTGAATCAATTTCATTTTGGTTTTGTTTCGGTTAATTTTGGTCGATTTTATTGATTTCGGTTACTTTTAGCATGTTTTTGTTACTTTTTGTTAGTCAGTTTCGGCTCACTCGTTATTTAACCCAAAAGATGAAACCGTAAACGTAAACTGCCAATGGTTAATTGGTTTTAGTCGGTTTCAGTTTGTGTTGGTTCATTTTCGATCGGTTTGTCAGTCGGTTTTGGTTTTCGATTTTTTGTTCACCCCTACTTATATTTGCATGTTTGGTACGTATCTGCGGATAAAGTTTGAATGAAATAAAAAAGGTCTTAATTGTACAATAGATGAATATTCTAGAGAGAAGTGAGATCAGAGCTACATTAAGAAAGTTTTTTTTGCATTGAATGTATTTCAACCCTTTACAACTACCCCCAAGAGAGTACGTTTAGGGGAAACATGGATTGGACTCCCAAATCTTTGGTCTGTGAGGGCCCATTCACAATTATGGGCCGCTTTTGGGTTGTTTACACGCAATTAATCTGTCAAGTACCAAAGGGTAAACTAGGGGTGGGTTCGGTTCTTTCGTTTCGGTTTTGACCTAAAACCAAATACGAAACCAAAGTAAAAGTTCGGTTCGGTTTCGGTTCGGTTTTACACTCCAAAACTTAAAACCACGGTTTGATTGGTTCAGTTTGGTTTTGATTTTTTCGGTTTTTTACTAAATATTTGTCATTTAATTTAAAATTGATAAAAAAGTTGGAGGGATCAAACATATTACATAAAAATGCAAGCATACTTGAACAAATGAAGAAAATAATAATAAACAAATATGTCTTGAATTATATGAGTATGCAGGAGATATAAAAGTGTGTATCTATTCTTAATTTACAATGTTTGTGACTAGTTTGAAAAACGTTTATGAATACATACATCCTGTGTGATTTAGCCGAGATGGATATTTATTTGTTTTATCTATATAAAAAACTTAAGTTACAAAAAAGAATTAAGTTACGTAAAAATAAAAGTTAATTACTACTAATAACTAGTAAAAACATATAATCATGCAACAAATTGCAACATATATACATAAAAGACATAATAGATCAATATAGCTACATTATTATGGGTAATGAATGTGTAAATGCATTTATAAACTAAACTAAACATAGCATAAACATTATTTCTCCAGCACAAGAAATTCAAAGATTATTGATGATATTAAGATTAATGCTTACATTTAACAAATAAAAATTCACATTTTATTTAGGTTCGGTTTGTTTGGTTCGGTTCGGTTCGGTTTTGAAGGGTAAAAACCAAAACCGAACCAAACTACTACGGTTCGATTCGGTTTTTTACATTCGGTTTCGATTTTTAGCGGTTCGGTTTTATTTGGTCGCGGTTCGGTTTAATTTGATTCGGTTTTCGGTTTTTCGGTTTTTCGGACCAAGCCCTAGGGTAAACTGTCTACTATAAGCTCTGGCCAAGGTGGCCAGGCTAAGGGGGTTAGGCCATGGTGAACATTCTTGACCCATGACTTCAATCTTCATCTTCTTGAATTCATCTGTGTGGGTGGTGTCGTCTGGTCGGCGGCCAAGTCGATGGTTGTTCCACTAGCTTGTAATCTTGTTTATGTGTCAATGAGTATGTGGGTCATGAGTGCATGTCCATATATTCTATTAGGAGTATGCCCCCTACTCTCTAGCCGAGTTGTGTCGAGGTGAGAGGGAGTAGAGTATTTTGTGTTTTTGTTGATTGCGTTTGTGCTTCAACAAGGAGACGTTGAGCTTCCTGGCCGGCATGCTTTTGTTTCACGTGGTTTTGATGATTTCTGATTTTCTAGAATCCGATCGAGGGAACCCTCTATGAGAATTCTTGGACGCGGATGTCTTTGTCTTTGTGGTGGACCTGTTTCTAAACCTTTTGTTTTGTGGCCGAGGCATGTTGACGTGAGTTTCTCTCACTTAAAATAAATGTAGCAGAATATGGTTAAAGTACAACTTTTGTCTCCACGCGGGTAGAAAAAAGGTAATAAAGTATTAATATCAATGATTTTAAGAAAATAAAATTAAATGCGATTGTGCGAGTTGGATTTTTGGAATTAAAAGCGAAAGAAAATAAGACTAAATTAAAAGGTTCCTTAAAATTAATGAAAAGAAGGGAACATGAATTTATTTAGGGGCAATCATATTTCCGACCTGACCAGGTTTAATCAAAAGAAAAATATTTAATTGAGCGACGCACATCAATATTAAGTTCTTATCGCTTTCGCAATGTAGATTACAATAATTTAGAGAATAAGTTTAATCTCTCACGCAACAAGTATTTAAATTATTGTCAAAACGAGAGAGCCTTCTAACTGTGCTAAACTCTTAACAAGCGATTAAATGTGTGTGAAGGTGCACGTACCAGAATAATATAGATCTCTCTTATATTATTCTATGTGCAATTATAATCTTAGTGGTCATTCCATATTACAAAACATAAAAATCAAATTATTCAAACACAAGTTAAACAATAATCATGCAATTAAACCATCAACAATTAAACTCTAGATCATGATTAACATCCCTCTATCAATCTCAATCTCTAATTAAATCTAGAGATAATTACCCTAGTTATACCTAAAACTCCATCAGTTTCTAAATCTATGACCTTATTACTTTTTTTCCTAAAAAAATATTTAAATTCGTTCTCATTAATTAATATATTAATTAATAATTTTTATGGACTAATATGCCCTTAAATTGTTATTATAAAACCCTAATTTCTTACTCAATTCTCAAACCCTAGCCAATGATCGATTTCCGCTAGTCTGACCCGTACGACCCCCCAACCACACGGTGCCTACCGCCGCCGCCCTCTGCAATTCCTTGTCGCCGATTTCAGCTTCCATCGTGGTCTCAACGCATCTGAAAACGAGCAGGTTGAGTTTGGTAGGTCGGTTGGGGAAGACCGACTCATATGGGAGGTTCCATTAGGTAGATTAGGCCGATCCTTCTCGTCTTCACATTTTTTCCGTCTCTCGTGAAGCGAGAAGAACGACAGAACGTCCCAGACTTTCTCCAAAGTCATTTTTGCCAAAGATAAGTTATAATTTGTCAAAATCATTGTTGCTATAAATTGTGTGGAATGATGTGATTGGTTGCTCTAGCAGGTGGGCATAAGGTAGCTTTTGGGTTCAATTAATTTGTTGATTATGTGGCGAACCTCCTCAAATAACCACAATTTCCATGTTTTTTCAATTTCTTCAAATTATGGTTTGTAGACTTCTTCTTTTTCTATTTTGAAATTAGGGTCAGTGGGGCATTTAACAAGGGCAGTAAGCATTACAAATGATAGTGTTGAACATGTGCAATGAACATGGCAATAGAGAGTATTGAATATGGGCAGTGAGCATGACTATAGATAATGTTGGACGTGGATAATGAAAAAATGCATTGGGCAAATGCATTGATTCGAAAATAATAGAATTTTGTCACAAAATTGACGACATCTGTGGTGATTATCACTTATAATGCAGTAATGCAGAGCAGTAATGCTGCCATGAAATGCAATATATTTAATTCAACAAGAATTACTAAAATTATTAAATCTAACCAAAAAAAGAATTATAAATAATAAATTCCTAAAGTGAATGAGAAGAGGATAATGTTGGTGGAAGTGCAGTGAAATGTCACCGAATGTGCAATAATGTCGTGCAGTAAGTGCAGTACAAAGTGCAATATTTTTTATTGGACGAAAATAGTATAAAACGCACATTTTTCAAATAAGGGTATTTTGGTCATTTAACATATTAATAGGAACGAATTTTTATTTTATTTTTTCTTTTCAGTCATACAAATGTCTAAAAACATAACTAGTCATAATTAGGGAAACCGGATATGTTTTAGTCACATGTTGAGGGTAAATCCCGTAGATCCGAAAGCCCAACACGAACTTTGGATATATCAGGAATGGCCCAGAATCAAAGCGTGTAAAGAAATATAAGATCTGAACTAACTAACACTCGAAAGCTCACTTGTATTAATTAACCAATCTGATTACAAGGAATTTCCCGATCGGTAGGTCGGAAACTATGCTTTAATACAAGAAATAAGAGCAATGATGCTATTCTAGAGCCTGAGTATTGAAATGCTAACCCTTACAATGACTTGAAACCTTCTATTTATACTAATGGAGAGCATGGGCTGCCTCATGCTGATTGGCCGTTGTTCCACCGACTTGGTCATCCATGCTTCCACTCGCTGATGTCACAGTCTGGCATTAATTGCACCTGGCCACTTGCTGGTTGGCCGTTGCTCGAACGGGATGTTGGGTTGTACTGAAGATGCTGTCAAATTGGCCCAAGTATGATATATAGCCCGAACTCCGTTCGGTATGTCTTCTTACTGGGCCAACCTTTATTTGGGCCGAATCTCGTTCGGCATGAATTCTTTACT